CCTCTCTGTCTCTCTAGTGAGAGCACTCGCCCTACAGCAAACATATCTCTTAAAAAAAAAAAAAAAAAGACTTTTTAGCAGCATACAATCATTAGTCATCACTATTTTCTTTCATCTCTTAAGGAGAGTGTTCTGGTCCAGACAACAGAGGCAGAATTCGAACTTAAGTACTGCCTATCGCACTTCCTTAGTTATCATTCATCTTTGTCCCCACACCTTTTTGAAGGATTGGCCATGCTGTAATCTTTTTTCCTCCATTGTCCTCCTGGGATTTTGGGCACACACAACTGACATGATTTTCAAGCCACCAGGTCTACAACTTGAACCATGTGTCAGCCATGTGGGATCCAGTCAACTTACCTCCACACCACCTACTGGCCTTAAGTGTGTGTGTGTGTGTGTGTATATGTGTGTGTGCGTGTGTTTTATTTAATTAAAAAAAATTTTTTTTTCATTTGACCAGAGAGAAAGGGAAAGTGAAAAAGCAAGCTGCCAGGTATGGGACTAAAACTGTGGTCAGTTACGTGCAAGTTCAGTGCCTTAATCACCACACCACCTGCTGACCCCTTACTGTGTTTTTTAAGTTAATAGGTCCAGGACACAGACTGCTTAGTCAGCCATGTGGAATTCAGCCACCTTAACCAGGCCACAGGCTGGCCCTGTTCCACTTTTAAATAATTCACACATAATCCACATTTTCCTTCCCTTAATGAAATTTAAACACCAGCTGACATTTTAACCTATTTACAGAATACCACTACCTGCAAGCCAAAAAGCAGTTTTAGTAAATCCTGCTATCATCCAGAGAGCAGTACTTGTGCAACAGAAAATAAATAAAAAGCAAAAGTAAAATTCACTTATCAGTCTTAAGACATAAAACCCCAAAATGTAGTTGAAACAAATATGAAGGTAATCAAGCATGTCCAAAATACATCTACAATCTTCCTAAGGTTATTCACTAAAATACACGTATAATTGTGAAAGATGATTAAGTTTTTTTTTTTTTTTTTTAAATGTCTATAAAGAGCCAGAAGGTGGCATGGTGGTTAAGGCGCTGGATCCCACGGGCTGACTATACAGTTCTAGACCCAGACTGGGCATCTTGAAAAAACACACTAGGAGCATGTGAATGCACAACCAAAATCCCAAGAGGAGAATAGAGAGAGATTGTGGCTTGGCTATCCCAAGGGGTGATGTCTTACTTTCCCTCCCCCCACAATAGCACACACTATAGCAAACTATTAAAAAAATGTTTATAAAGCATAAAAACATGTCAAAGAATGTGTGAGAACAGATTAAGGCATTACTGAAACAGAACCCATTGCTATGATTAGACTATGTCTCACAGAAATTTGCCTGTTGAGACTTGATTGTTATGGACTACAGTGTAAAGGTAGTAAGTTAAAACTTGATGTCTTCATGATGTCCAAGGAGGAGGCTTAATGGGCAGTGATTTATCACTGGAGGGGGGGCAACACCCCTGTGACTGGATTAATGGTATCTCAGGAAACCCAGTGAGTCTCAGATCTCATGAGAAAAGGTTTGCCCCTGTAGGAGCAGACTGCGGTAAAAGAGCAAGTGCTCATCCCCTCTGTACGCACCTGCCATCCTGTGCTTTTGTCAGTCATGCTATAGGCCTAGGCCTTTGGACTTTCCAAAAGTCAGCATTGTGAGTTTTGTAAATACATCTCTATCTTCCTTATAAAATCACCCGGGTCTAGGCATTTCTATTAGCACCATAAAAACAAAGGTACCGTATTAAAGAAAACCAAGCCTATCACTAAACTTTAGGTGCATTTCGGGGAACATGTTATGGTTAAGAGAAAGAGAATACTTTCAGAGGACAAGTAAAAGCAACTATTGAAAACCAAGAGTTACATAATACATTTTAATTGAAACCTACACACTCCACCATCACCACATAACCCAGTTTTCTTAAATATGTAGCTAGGAAATAGAGCAATGGGTTCTTAACCCTAGATGTAAATTAGAATCACTTGGGGAACTTAAAAAATATCTAAGCCTGGGCCCTCACCAAATAATTTAAACCAGAACCTCTAAGCATCAAGATTAAGAACCACAGAAGTAACTATCCTTTTCCTATGAAGTCTTTCGGGGGGAAGGGAGGATCTAATAAAGACATGCTATACTTCGATTTAAAACACACCTACTGGCCAACCACAGTAGCAGGGTAATAAAACAATCCTTTGTCATATGGAAGCCATACAGGAAAGTTCCAGGTCCGTATCCTGAGGTTTTCCTAATCCACACAGAAAGCACACTAGTATATGACCATAACCTTGGCTAGTTAAGGCTAGGGGTTGATCGCAGTGTAAAGTCTCTGATCAGAGCGAGTGTGTGTGTGTGTGTGTGTGTGTGTGTGTGCATGTACGTGTGTCTGTCTGAAAAGAAATAAGAAAAATTAAAAATAATAACAAAAAACCTCATATACCTATACTAAACCAAAAAAAAGTTTAATATACAACCAAGGAGTAAAATAGTAGGTATGCTTGTTTAGGATATTCGCCCTAAATGAACAAGCACATCACTCTACAAATTCGTGCCACCCTTATACAGTAAGTTCCAAAGCAAGACCTCAGCAGAGTACTCAGAACGCTCTCTCGACAAGCCTTTCTTCTTAAAATGAAACACTTAAAAAAAGAAAATTATGAAAATCCTAATTCGAGAAATGATTACCATCCAATTTATTAATTCCTATCCAACAATAATTATTTATTTTAAAAGAAATTACTATACTTACCAACACATTTTCCTTACCAATTTCACCAGCAGGTAGGGCACATGTTATAAATTAGATGGTCAATGTCCAGTTATTCTCTACAATTAGACAATTATTTTAAACCCCAGAGCTCATTCTAAACCAAGTCACTTTTAGTTTCATTTTGTTTTTGTTCTTGTTAGAGGGAGATGTATGCTCCCAGAGAAAGGAAAAGTGAGAAAGCATCCTCTCTCCATGTGGGACAGTCACACCAAAATCCCTTCTCCATTTCTCTTTTGGGGATTTTGAGTACACATGCACAAGCACCAGAGTATTTTTCAAGCGGCAGGGTCTAGGACTCAAATCACACAATTGGTCATGTGGGATCCAGCCACCTTAAACACCACACCACTGGTTGGCTGGCTCTAAAACCAAGACATTCTTGCCACAAGCCCCGTTCTGCTAACTGCAAGATTTAGAGAATTTGTACCTACTGGTACAAATGCCAGCACCATGTGTCAATTACAAAATATGCATACTATTAGTCAATTCTAATAACATGGGACTTGAAAGAGTTACTTCGTGTCTTCACTTGGATACTACACATGGATAAGCCATCTGTTCACTCAGAAAGGGCATAAAGGGGCAAAGAAAAATATAGCACGGAAGAGAGAATGTACTTCTCGTAAACTCGGAAAAGAACGAAATGGGAACATATGGAAAAATGAAAGACTTTTGCTTTGGACAATTAAATCCACCAGCCACCAAAAATGCTAACAATGAGATCAGAAAACAATGGAAACGCGGACAATTCAACAAAATTTACTCATATCACACATACGTGCACCCCTCAAAATCGTGTATTTTCTTCAAACATCTCAGAAAAGTGAAATGATCTCCTTTCCCGTTGCTTCCAAATTCGATACAGTACATAGCAAGAAAATGTATTACTACACTCACACAAGTAATGATTAAGTGTTCTGAATTTTAGTGGTTCAAGATATATAAAATATTAGTTGCTACAGAAGGACTGCTTTATCACCTAAATCCTATTCAAAACATAAAAAAGGCGAAAAATTCATTAAATGTTGAGCACTGCCTTTTCAAGTGCCACTGTTGTCTTTGGGTTAATGTACTTAACACTAAGCCATAATCTAACAGTAGTTTTCTATGTGGCCTCACTAGGATCACTTAAAGAACTTAACACAGGCTAATGCTTTACAAGCTTTCTTATCTGAAACAAATTTAACTCTAAAATCACACAACTTGACAAGTACTGTACAAATATTTGTTAACTTACCAATCTGCCCATCATTTCTGCATCCACGTTATACACAGTAACTTAATATTTATAACCAGAAACTGCACTGGCTGATAGAAGTAGACACATCATTTAGTTCATTAAGCTCTACCTGAAAACATGCCATTTTATTAGAACAAAACCCCCAAAACTTATATCTCAAGTTACATGGTTTCACAATCAGGTCTTACTGAAGGAGTACATATTTCCTTTCTTACAGACAAGTTAATATGCAGAAGAAACTCATGAAGAGCACACAAGCAATCTGACAAATTGTACTATGTGGAATACAAAGAAATCCTGAATTTAATCTAAAGAATGTCAAGAAGTTACCAGAGAGATTATGTAGTGGCCTTGATTTTTATTTTCGTTTACCTAGAATTCTACAAATTCTAAAATTTATCAATTGATTAATCTTTTAAAATAAACAGCACCAGTCTTTCCCATTGATACAATTAAAATCTGACTTTCTCAGTGTGATTGAATGTATAAAGAAAATGAAATAAATATAAAAAATTAAAACATCTGTGGAATATATTTTCTCTGATTTTTTTTTCTTAGTTCACAAGTTTATTATGAAAAACACTGCAGTGCTCTTGTGCAGTAACATCGTCTTACAGGAGGGGGGAAAACAGTTCTGTTCAAAACAACTCACCAGGTTCTGACAATAACAAAGAACAACATGGGACTGAAATTTGAGAAGGGAATAAACTGAGTGCAGACAAATCATACAATTAAATTAAACGGTATCCCTGAAAATAAACAAAACGATTTCAAAACTCACAAGTAGAGGGGAGGCCTTGGTACTTATTTTTTAAAAATGTTCATTAAGCTCCAATGATTGTTTGCTGCTATCCTTATCTACAGTCATGCTGAGTAAAGCTATAGCTAAATGGAAGTTAAATTGTATCCACGAAGTGTTAATGTTTACATCTTATTATCTGCAGTCTCTCAAGAGAAAGCAAAAGTAACTACAAATAGCACTATGCCAGAAACTGGTTTCTTGACCAACAATGTCGCTTCAGCATGCAATGAACTGGTTCATTCTAAAGTGGTCACAGCTGTTGATGACAAGAGGCTTTGTATTTTTATATGGCACATCTTTTGGTCCGTGTGAAAACAAGTTTTTTGAATGTTAACTATTTTCTGACACTTTGGAGTTACTGTTGCTCTTCCCATGTCCATTAGGTCAATATATGGTTCATGGCAATACTGTACAAGTTTAAAATTTCATTACAGGAAGTAGTCTGGGGTACGACGAGTAACGTGTGGTTCTCCTCTACGAGGTGCTGGGTCAAACTGCAAGCTGAAAGACAAAACAGGTTCGTTGTCTACGTTCTGAGACGTCCATGCACTAACAATCAAAATCAAGAACACTGTTTTTCAAACGTAGCACATTTTCTTCCTGTCCAATTTCACTTTGGCTTAATGAAACAGAACTGTAATTGTAGACAAATCATGCATTTAATGATAAGGGTTTAACTGCACTCCACCCAAGGTAATTTCAGTGGAAGAGGCTATGTAGGCTCTCTTATACATAGTAGGGTTATTTTTAAAGGACGTGAAAGGGTCACACTAAAGAAGTACATTGTAGGGTCAGTCCCATAGCTTGCTTAAGGGAGCCAGGTCCTACATGGCTGACTGCAGTTTGAATCCAAGCCCTAGAGATTCGAATCACACACTAGGCATGTGTGTGTACATTCCCCAAATCCCAAAAGGATGGAGAAATGCAGGAGGAACTGCAGTGTGATCATGACCCACAGGGAGGTGCCCTCCCCACTCCTGCTCCCTCTCTGGAGGGCAGCACATGTCATCTGGCAATTGAGAGGAAAAAAAAGGTAAATTTTAAAGGGCCTAATGTACTCTATTTGTAATCTATCCTCAGGATATACTTTATTAACTCCATAATAAAAACAAGATTTTTAAAAATTAAAGACTTATCAATTCACACTAGAGTCTATATATGACAAGTTTCTGTTAGTGTGTTTCAGTATATCATAGGAGCATTTCAAAGATAACTACATATTCAGTAACGACAACCAAACGCCGAGGTGTAAATACTTACAAAGAGTATTTTAGAGTATCATCAAGTTCCATGATTGCGGCTTGGTTACCACAACGATAACAATAGTTTGGAGCACTGAAAATTGTTACTACATTCCGGTCATGGCACCAGTTATATCCCTACAAGGAAATAAAGGGAGGTAAAAATCTGCATTACTCCTTTACTTACACAACTAAATGTGACCCTACTCAAGACAGAAAAAAGATCTCTACTCCCCCACCACAAAGGCTTAAGAAATGCTAATTTGTTTCTTAATAATTTTATGCATACTACACAACCTATAAAATACATGTGTATTTTTCCCAAAATTATAAAAGCAGTTTAGTAAAGAAAGAAAAAACCCTTAGAAGTAGCAGCAGTCACCAAAGAATAAATGGCTTCTCATATAGCTAGCCTTCTAGAAATGTCTCATCAGCCTCTCTGATTGCACCGTCCTTACACATGACTTAACAATGAGTATTTGTATGGATACTTCCCATAAGTGCAAATGTATCCATGGAGACCTTATTTTTCTCCTCAGTCACAGGTGAAAGTCTCTAAACTGGTCACTGCTCAGGTATAAATGAGAAAGGCCTCTAGATGTCCAGCCTCATTCCCTCCACTCCATCTGAATACAAGAGCTACTTTAATTATTTTTTTGGTGTTTAGTACCATTCACAAATTTATTCCCCCATCTTTAGCAAAATTAGATTTTATTGTTAACAATCAGAATTGTATCAATACTAACCTAAACAGGTCAATTTTATAAGCATTCTAATCAATATTTTTTGCTAGGAACCTTACCTATTTCCCCTTTCATTTCTTCTTTCAAATCACTTGTAATCCTACTTTCCAAAGGACAGTTTGAACATTTTGGTACTTATCTTCCCAGTTCATCTCACAAGAGACTTTATATTTACATATAAATTTAGTATATAAACAAAACTGGTATCATAAAACATTACATCCCATACAACTCCCTGAATCTTACTCTTGACCCACCCTGAAATCCCAAGCACTTTTCAGTTATTAAGAATTCTCAGGCAAGGACCAGCAGGTGGCATGGTGGCTAAGGCACTGGACCTTCGCACATGGCTGGCTGACCATGGTTCGAGTCCCAAACCTGGTGGCTTGCTTTCTCATTTTCCTTCTCTCAGTCTGTGTGTGTGTGTGTGTGTGTGTGTGTGTGTGTGTGTGTCTGGTCTGGTCAAATTTAAATAAATGAATGAATGAATAAAATTAAATTTAAAAAAATTCTTAAAAAAAAAAATTTCTCGGGTGGGGGCTTGGCATAGTGGTTAAAGTACTGGACTCCTACATAGCCAATTGTGGTTCAAGTCCCAGACCTGGTGGTTTGATTTCTCACTTTCTCTCTCTCTCCAAACTGAAAAATAATAAATAAAATTAAAGTAATTCTTAAAAAAAAAAAAAAAAGAATTCTCAGGTGAGCAGGTGGCATGGGGGTTAAGGTACTAGATCCCACATGGCCACCTAGACGGTTCAAATCCCAGACCTGATGGCATGAAAACTACACTAGGCACATGTGTGTGCATGCCCAAAATCGCAAGAAGAGATGGAAGGCAAAGGGACTGCAGTGTGGCCACCCCGCCAAGGGGTGTTTTCTCACTTTTTCTCTCTGGTGAGCATAGGTACCCTGTAGCAAAAATTGAAAAAGAAAAAAAAAAAAAAAAAGTCTCTGAAAACATGTCAGCTATGTATATCATTATGATTAAAAGTTTGATTTTATTTCTACTATGCATCTACCACAAAGCCTCAGGGTTTTTATTTTTTTAATTTAGAGAGAGATTTTCCCTATAGGGCATGGGTGCTCACCAGAGAAACAGAGAGCAACAGAGAGACAGAAAGCAAAAAAATCACCCCCAGGAGGATGGCCACGCCACAATCCCTTCTCTTCTATTCTTCTCTCCCGATCTTGGGCACACATGCACACATGCCCGGCTTGGGTTTTAAGCCTTCAAGTCTGGGACTTGAACAGTGGTCAGCTACATGAGAGTCTGGTGACATAATGCCATCTGCTGGTCTGAAGCCTCAGGTTTTAATGGGAAACTCATCAGAAAAAAAAAAAAAAATCCATGCAATTTCTCACTAATGTCATTAATTTAAAACTCCCTAATATCTTCTTTCTTTATGCCTACTAAAAAGCAAATCAGCCCCAAAGAGTAGAACATACCTCCATCACCAGCTGGTGAGCTCTAGACACCAACGTGAGACCATTGGCATGATTAAATGTCTCGGAAATATCTTGCCCAAAGGTGTAACCAGCTCCTCGAGGAGATATACCCCAACCACCACGATCATCTGGATCTGACCACAGCAAGTCACACATTGGACCCTAGAAATCAAGTTCAAGTGATAAAGTGCCTTTTATAAAAATGGCTAACTCATAATTTGAGTCATCAGAAGCAGCATCCTGCTAAATCATACTTTTAAGTGACATTCACTGAAAATGGTAACAGATTTTACAGTTAAAGTCAAATCTCAATGTGAAATATGATACATCTTCTAGAAGTCTTTATGACACATAGCTGACCTCAATGGGTCCATCGAGCAACAAGTGCTAACTAACCTACCTATGATATGCAAGTACCAATCTTAGGAGTACAAGCCAGGGTTAAGGCAAAAATTCTGCAGACGACAATCTAGATCCAAGTAAGTCCAATTGTACAGCTGCTGTGATCGTGACAGGCTTCTCGATGTGAGCATTTTCAGAAGAATGGGGTTGAGGAGAGTATTCATACTTCACGAGGTTGTTTTTCAGAATTACATGTGAGAATACATATAATGAGTCAACCTGGTCCTGTGCCACGTGTACCTGGCATCAGGTCAGGCAATCATGGATCAGGGAATGCAGTTTGTTGAGCAAAGTTGGCAATTTGTAAAGGACGCAATTTGGCTGGTTAAAAGATGCATCAAACCTGACAGAAAAGAATTTTAAGACTGCCATGGCAATAGCAATAGGATTTGCTATGATGGGATTCACTGGTTTCTTTGTGCAATTGATCCATACCCCTATTAATATTATTATTGGTGGTCAAATACTTTTCTGAAGAGTGGTTTTCATCTTGATTTGAGAAACCCACAGAGTAAAAATTGGCCTATATATTTTATTCTTTTCCCTCCAAGATGTTTTCTATTCCTAAGTTAAAATAATTTCAAAAGGGAAAGAATACATAAAATGAACTAAGTGTGATAAATTTCTCCTTTCTCTAAAATGAATTTGGGAGGAGATTGTCAAATAAAAGTCATACCTCATGAGGAACTTCTTGAAGGCGATCAAGTGCTCTGATGTGATCCAGTGTATCTATGGATGGTGAGAGGCCACCATGTAGACAGAAGATCTGCAAAAAGTGGTTTAAAACATTACCCACATCTTAAAGAAACTTTAAATATTCTGGATTAAACCACAGGCGGCCCCATTCCTTGGCCCCACTGTGTTTCTGTGCTGTACTGAACAACACTTGACTCTGCAGGGTTCATCTCTGCCCCAGTCCCCTGCACTCTTTTTCTTCCTGCTGCACCTGGAATCTAGCTCAATCAGCTCCTTCAAGAAACTACTTCTCCATTTTAACCCTGGGCACTCCACCAAAAGAGTACCTTCTGATTCTCACAATTTTCTCACACGTTTTGTCTACACCTTAACTGGACCAGTGAAATAGCTGGTAACATCTCTCAGGTTTGTCCAGATATAGCCTGATTGGATGAATGAGTTGTAGCCTTTCATCCCTGTGATCCACTTATAGCTCAGTGCCAGATACAAAGAAGATACTTTAAAGCCTGAATGAATGCTCTTGATCTCTTACCCCCCCTCCCCAAGACATTAAAAAGTGGTAGGAAGATGGGAGAAAAAAATCACTGGCACCTAAAAATTAATAAAGCAGATTCTGGGGCTCTAGGGCAGGAGATGGTTCCATGATAATGAAACCAGACAAACGTGGAAAGGTTCTGGGTTTGAGTCTCAGGACTTCCCCCTAAGTAAGTGGCTGGAACATGTATGCCCATGTTCTGGACTGGTTGAGACTGGAGATGGGGTGCAATATGAAGACCCTGCAAGGTACACCTGTGTGTGTCTCTCTAAAGGAAAAAATAAAAAGTCAAAACAAAACAAAACAAAAATAGTTTACTACAAAACAATTATATTAAAAGTTTTAAAAACAGCAGCAGATTCTAGACACAGCCACAATAGTATCTGCTGCTAAGACGCTGTCCTCCATAGGCTGGGACCACATGGATGCCTGGATTCGTTTCCTGGTCAAACCTAAACGCCTGGCATATCGACCTATGTCTGAAATCCCAATGACTTGAGGAGCCGAAGCAAGAAGAGTGTGAGCTTAAGGCTGGTGTGGGCAACGCAGCAAGATCCTGCTAAAAGGAAGAAAGAAAGAAAGAAAAGGCAAGAAGGAAAAGAAAGCAGAATCTTAAAAATAATCAGCTACATGAATTTTAAGACCCACATACCTGCCCATCCACCAAGGCAGTGAGAGGAAGATAGTCAAAAAGATCTGTAAAATATTTCCAAACATTTGCATTTCCATATTTTCTTAAACATTCATCATAGAAACCATAAACTTGTGTGATCTGTCTGCTCTCATGATTCCCTCGAAGAATGGTAATGCGTTCACGGTAACGAACCTAAAACAAAATGGCAAACATAAACAGCTCTTTCAAAAATCAAATGGCAATTCAGGAAATCGTCTGTAAGGAAATCCAGATTTCTCATTTTGTTGTAAAACATCACACATCTCCACATCATATCAAACTGAAACCACAGGTCTACAAACAGTTTTAAATGGGGTGTTTGCCAACCCGGTCTCAACTAAAATCAACCCTCTGCCACTTACTTTACACCAGCCATAATTATGGGATATATCAATAAAACCACACACATAAAATTTCTTTACTGTTTAATCAGTTTAGTAAACTTATAGAACATTTATCAATCCAGTTTTAGAAACGTTTTACTACCCAAGAAAATCCTACATGCCTGTCTGCAGTCCTTTCCCACTCCTCCCAGTTTCTGGCAAATACTGATTATTTTAAGATAGTCTTTTGTAGAAATTCATCATATAGATAGAATATAAAATGCAAATCTTTTTTGTCCTTTTGTGCCAAACATTACTAAGAATATTTCCAAGGCTCGTCTATGTTGTAGTATGGATCATGTTCCTTTCCATAGCTCTATATAATTATTTCATCATACGGCTAAACTGCATTTTGTTTCTTTAATCACCACTAGGATGAACTGATCCCTGTTTCCAGCTTTTTGGGGGGAGGGGCAGGGGGATTATGAATGTTACTATAATCTTTGCATGGCAGCTTTTATATGGATGTATTCTTCATTTCTCTTAGGCAGATTCCTAGGAATATTAATGCTGTGGGAGTCTAATTTTTTAAGAAACTGTGCACCTGTTTTTCAAAGTGGCTAGACAATTTTATATTTCCACCAGAAATGCATGAGGATTCTAAGATCTCCACAGTACTCACCAAAACATGGTGATTATCAACCCCATTTGTTACAGCCATTCTTAATGGCTATGAAGTAAGTCCTTAACTTGTATTCCACTGATGACTAAGAGTACTGAACAACTTTACAGTTCTAAGCATTCGAATATCTTCTTGAATAAAATATCCAAACACTTTGCTCATTTTAAAATTATCTGTCTTGTTGCTGAGTTATGCTTTTTTTAAAAGATATTTTATACAAATGCAATTTGTTTCTTTAGAGGTTTTTGCCTTAGGGTACATGCACTCTCTAGACAAAGATAGGCAGACACAGTAAGAGGGAAACTGAGAAATCACCTCCCCCCCCCCCCGGGGGGGGGGGGGCCCCACTGCAATCCCTTCTCCTCCTGGGATGTTGGGCATGCATATATATATATACACCTGCCGTGATTTTCAAGCCACTGGGTCCAGGATTGAAACTGTGGTCAGCCACATGGAAGCCCAGTGACATAACCACTATACCATCTGCTGATCCCACAAATGCATTTTTCTTAGTGATCTATTTTGAAGGACCAGGAAAAAAATCTTTATTTTGATGAAGTCCAACTATTAATTTTTTAATAGATTAGGGTTTGTTATTATCATGTCCAAGAAATCTTTGCCTAGCCCAAGATCACAAAGGCTTTCCCCTATTTTAATTCTAGAAGTTTTATAGCCTTAACCCTCACATTTAGGTCTATTATCCATTTATTCCAGCATCACTGACCAAAAGGGCCATCATTTCCCTGAGTATTCACTGGGTAAAGGTATCACAACAGTACCACAGGGTGAAATTAAACACAGAAATTTATCTTCTCACAGTTCTGGAGGCAGAAGTCCAAGATTCGGGTATCAAAATTAGTTGGGGGACCAGCAATTAGTGTAATGGCTATGTCGCTGGACTCCCATGTAGTCGACCGGGGTTCGAATACTGGACCTGGTGGCTTAAACTAGGGAAGGGAGCGAATGCATGAGTGCCCAAGATCCCAAGAGGAGAATGGAGAAGGGGATTGTGGCGTGGCCATCCTCCCCACCATGGGGTGGGGGGGGAGTTCTCGTTTTCTGTCTCTCTGTACCTCTCTCTCTTTCTGGCGAGTGCACACACCCTATAGCAAAAACCTCTCTCTCTCTCAAAAAAAATTGGTTTCTTCATAGGATGTATAGGTATATAAATCTATAACTCTGTCCTTCATTTATACATGGCCATCTTCTCCATGTGCCTCACTTCCTCCCTACTGAATCTCTCGTAAGTATACCAACTCATATTGAATTAGGGCCCACCCACGTGACCTCATGGCACCCAAACTACCTCTACAAAGGTACAGGCTCCAAATACAAGTCGCATTCTGAGGTACTGGGGGATAGGACTTCCACATATGAATCTGGTTGGGAGGAGGAGTCACGATGCAGCTCACTACACCCTCATGAGTGAATTCTTAAAGCACATTCTTTCTTCTAGGCACTGGGATTCGTCCTGGGCTTTTTACAAAAGCATGGGCTAGTTTGTAAGCTGTTTTCACAGTTTAGTCACTGCAGAAACCTTCTACCATCTAAACCACTTTATCCTTTATTTTACAGATACAAACCACAATAACCTCCAAAAATGTTTTGTAGTACTTTACGCAATTCAGGTTATTACCTAAAATACAGCTCTTGCTGAAACCGCATCTCAATGCCCGTCTAACATTAGCAAAGTTTGTGACAGCCATTTCTTCATTACAAATATTCTCTAACAAAAGTGAGTCAGTTGTCGGGAACCAGCAGTTAGCGTAATGGCTATGTCGCTGGACTCCCACATAGTCGACTGCGGTTCGTGTCCCGGACCCGGTGGCTTAAAACTCACGCCGGGCGCGTGTGCGTGCGTGCCCAAGATCCCAAGAGGAGAATGGAGGAGAAGGGATTGCGGCGTGACCATCCCCCGTGGGGGGTGATTTCTCGCTTTCTGTCTCTATGTCTCTCTCTGTCTGGCGAGCGCACGCGCCCTACAGTGAAAATCTCTCAAAAAAAAAAATAAGTGAGTCAGTTGTCTAATTGGGTGGGGGGACAAAAAACCTTCCCTCATCCCCAAAAAAGGTAAAGCTACTAATTACTAATAATTGCTTTCTTTTGAGTAAAAGGCAGAAGACCATCTCCTTAAAAATTATTTACTAATTTGTGTTTTCCTTCAGATCTTCACTTGCACATTTTGCAAAGCTAGAACTGACATCCATATAATTTTATAATTCTTCAATTATCATTTGCAGTGTTCTAGATTATATTTAATGGCTCTGAACTATTACTGAGTTAAATCATAATTTAGAAATTAACTCAATGTTGGATACTTGGATCAGTTTTTTTTTCCTGATGTTAAAAATAATGCTGCAATTTATGTCTTTGCATAAATGACACACTTTCTCATCTTGGATTTCTTAATAAAATTCTGTCAGAGGGTATAAACAATCTAATATTTGATGTCTGTACTATTATAAAACTTCAAAAATATCTAGAAATGTAATCATATTCTCTCTCCATGCCACAATCTAATGAACTAAAAGCTCTACAGTATCTGACCAGTTTGCCAACATTTTTCAAATAATTTGAGGCACTCTCTTTCTTTTGTTTTTATCCCGCACTGTTCCCTTACTCAGAATACAAACTGTTTTTTTAAAAGAAAGATTCCTGCTATAGGGTGCATGCGCTCACCAGAGAGACAGAGAAAGATGGAGAAAAGGCAAGAAATCACTCCCCTGGGGGGGATGGGCCCGCTGCAATCTCTTCTCCATTCTCCTCCTGGCATCTTGGCATGCACACACACGTGCACCCAGAGTGAGTTTTAAGCCGCAGGGACTCGAACTGCAGTTGACTATGTGGGAGTCCAGCGATTTAACCATTACGCCATCTGCTGGTCCCAAGTATCGATGACTTTTAAATCCAAAACCTGAATATTTACACTCCTAAATGCAGAAAATTGTTCTAAAATTTAACATTTAGGTAGAGAAGATACCCTATCAATGGGAAAAAAGAACATTCAACACGATTGGCTTACACAGTTCAACATACTCTAACAGGTAAAATCGAAATTACCTTAAGAGCTACAAGCAGTGTAACTGTTTCGACTGAATAATATCCTCTGTCAACATAATCTCCCATAAACAAGTAATTTGTATCTGGTGACTTGCTACCAATTCTAAACAGTTCCATGAGATCATGAAATTGCCCATGCACATCTCCACACACGGTGACTGGACATCGAACCTCTTGCACATTGGATTCTTTTGTCAGGATTTCTTTAGCCTAAAGAGGGAGAAAAAGACAAAACAATACATTTGGCATTAAACGGTATTAACAAAAATGTTTACTTATACTTAATGTTTACTGACACTGAGTCTGCTTAAGGGGTAGACTCAGTAAGATAAAATTGCTGGCATTTATGATTCCAATAAAGTAAAAGTTATGGCTAGATTCCACCCAATGACTATTTCACCTCTAATACCAAAAAACAATGTGTATCAAGAATCACAGCCACATTCCTATCATCAGTATCAGGAGGGTTTTTTTGTTGTTGTTGTTGTTTTTAAGAGGTTTTCTCTATAGAGCGCATGCGCTCCCCAGACAGACAGAGAGGCAGAAAGCGAGAAATCAGCCCCCAGGGGAATGGCCACACCGCAATCCCTTCTCCTCCATTCTCCTCTTGGGATCTTGAGCATGCACGCCCACGTGCCCTGCGTGAGTTGTAAGCCATCGGGTCCAGGATGCGAACCGCAGTTGACTACATGGGATTCCAGCGACAAAGCCATTACGCTAACTGCTGGTCCCAGTATCAGGAGTTTTTAAACCCCATCAAACTGTCGTCTAATTAAATACTAAAGAGGTCACTACCAGCTGTCATACAAGATCAATGCAAATGGAGTAAGACATTCAAGTACATACATCCTTAGTGCGAGACTTCTAACTCTAATGCCGCACTCCAGGGATTCCAGGCTCTAAGAGGTTTCATAGACCTGCTTAATTTGTCTTAATTATTTTTTTAAATCTTTGGAAGACATTACAATTTTGTCTTCATTTTAAAAATGTATACTTCTTATGTTCTCTATATCAAATTACAAACATTTATTTTAGAACTGGGCTGTTCAATATACTTGCTTTTAGAAAATTATCTGGGGTGGGGGTGGGGCAGGCAGTGATACAATGGTAAGGCAGCAGATGCCATGTGGAAAAGGGTCCTGGGTTCATGTCCTTGGGCCTCTCTGAGCACACTGGGCATGCATATACATGCTTGTGATCCAGGACAGCAGGCTGTGGGTGGATCCAGCATGAGGACACTTTTCAGGATATCTCTGTCTCTCTAATGTAAGAGAAAGATAGATGAATGGGAGGGAAGAAAAGAAAAGATAGAAAGGAAAATATGGGACCAGCAGATGGCATAGTGGTTACATTCCTGGATTCCCACGTAGTAACCACTGTTCGAGTCCCAGACCTAGAGGCTTAAAACTCACACTGAGTGCTCACGTGCCTGTGCCCAAAATCCTGAGAGGAGAATGAAAGAGAAGGCGCTGCAGCATGGCCACCCCTCACGGGGGGTGATTTCTCACTTTCTGTCTCTCTGGTGAGCGCATGCTGCCCTATAGTAAAAACCTCTCTTGGAAAAAAATAAAGAAGAAGAAAGGAAAATGGAAGAGGCCAGATAGCGGCACAGTAGTAGAATTCAATACTCTGTGAAGCGGACCCCACATAGGAGGCGTCTGAGTTCACATCCAGAGACTTCCCTGGGTACACCAGGCATGTGCATGCCCATGCTCTGGTGTTAGCTAAGGCTGGAAGTGGATCATGAGACTGTGGTGCTATCCCCCCCACCCCCACCCCACACTCATGAACAGACAGACAGGAAGAGATGGAGGAAGGAAATTACGTGTTAGTGTATTAGTTCACATAACCCAAATGTAAACATTACTTTCAGAGATAAAATAGCACTTCACTCAGTAGAAACCCTACCATTCATTCAGTAGTTCCTAGTCACTTATTCTATGCTAGAAACGGTGGAGAACACTGGGAGATAATCATTCGTTCAAACATCTCAGTGACTGTACCAGGCTCTGTGCTAGCCACTGACATACAGTGGTAAACAAGATACACTACAGGAGAAGGAAGACCACAACCAAGTAACTAAGCAAAAAAGTATAGACTGTTCAGTGTCATGAAGGAAAAGGAGTTAACTGAGAAAAACATGTTAAATAAGATACCACAACAAAGGACCAGCAGTTGGCGTAATGACTATGTTTAATTTAGATCCATCATTAAGAGGATTTCAGATTTAATGGCTCTTTCTTGATTTGAAGAACAATCTTATAAAGTAAAATATACTGGCAAGGATTTCCAAGTATTTAAATATGGACATAAAAAAGAAATTTAGGGAACCAGCAGTTAGCGTAATGGCTATGTCGCTGGACTCCCACGTAGTCGACCGCGGTTCGTGTCCCGGACCCGGTGGCTTAAAACTCACGCCGGGCACGTGTGCGTGCGTGCCCAAGATCCTGAGAGGAGAATGGAGGAGAAGGGATTGCGGCGTGACCATCCCGGCTGGGGGGTGATTTCTCGCTTTCTGTCTCTATGTCTCTCTCTGTCTGTCTGGCGAGCGCACGCGCCCTACAGTGAAAATCTCAACAAAAAAAAAAAAAAAAAAAAGAAATTTATAAGGCAATGTCAAAAAGAACTGTTCTTTATTCAAACAATTCCAAATAAGATACTAATAACCTTACTATAGGAATCATTAGATAAAAATTATTTTAAAATTTTAGAGATAATATTATTGCCAATACAAACTTGGATAGAAATTATGCTCTATTGGGACCAGCAGTTGAGTTGTTGTAACAGACTCCCATGTGGTCAACTGTGGTTCGAGTCCTGGACCCAGTGGCTTAAAACTCACGCAGGACGTGTGTGCACGCGTGCCCAAGATCCTGAGAGGAGAATGGAGGAGAAGGGATGCGGCATGGCCATCCCCCCTGGGGGGTGATTTCTCGCTTTCTGCCTGTCTGTCTGTCTCTGTCTTTCTGGCAGGCGCCAGCGCCCTATAGCAAAATCCTCGCAAAAAAAGGATACAACAAATTACCATATAATACTTTTTCACTCACAAGCCATTTGCTCATTACATTTTGGGTAGCAACTAAGACGTGGGCTGGGTTTAAGGCAATGGAATACAACCTTAACCTGCACATTAAAATTTTAAGTGCCCAGGTTCACCTACCCCCATTGAGTCAGATTCTTTAATAATGGGAAGTTAAGCATCAACAAAATGTTAACCTCCCCATCCCCACCCACTTTACTAAGTGCAAGCAAACTTAAGAACCACATTGGGACCAGCAGGTAGTGGTTACGTTGCTGGATTCCCACATGGCAGACCACAACTGGAGCCCCGGGGCCTGGAGGCTTGAAAATCACGCTGGCACATGTGTGTGCATGGCCAAAATCCCAAGAGGAGAATGGGGGACAAGGGTTACAGCATAGCCATTCCCACTGTGGGGTGATTTCTCACTAACCCTCTCTCTGTCTCTCTCTGGTGAGTACATCTACCCTATGACAAAAACCTTTAAGGGGGGGCAGTATTTTCAATTCTCCAAACATTTTGGGAAGCTTATTTCAAGACACTCATCAATCAATAACATTCCACAAATAATTTGATCTAACATTTTACTTAGTTAAAAAAACCTCACTGTGTCTCAAAAGATGTTTAAAGAAATAGAACCACCCTTGACAGGGTTCTGTCACACTACCCACTTTCCCTCCAGTTTTTCTTGGGCACACACATGTGGGCCTCATGTGTTTTCAGGCCAACCTGGTCATTTAAACCTATTAGTTGGCCATGTGGCTTCTAGCACTGTAGTTTAATTAGCTACTGACTTTACTACCAACCTAGGCCAAATTCTACTTCATTTGGAATTGTCCTAAGGTAATTCCAACTTTCCCTGATACGTTACTAAAAAAAAAAACGCACAAGTTCTCTAGAAATACTCTGTATTATATCTGTCTGACATTAACACCATGTCTAGAGTTTACAGAACATAGTGTACATTAATGAAAATAGCTGTGAATGAAATGAGTTTCTACTCCCAAGAAATTTTTTTTACTAGTTATTCAGAAGTTTTAAAAAGAACAATGACAGAAAAAATTGCCGTGTAATGTATAAATCTTGCCATGATATAATTCTCACATTTATAGACACATCATTTCGGTCATGACAATGATCCAATGAAATTAAAACAGACTATACGCCATACAGCCTAGGTGCGACAGGCTATGTACCGCCTACAGCTATGTAAGTGCGCTCTTGGATGCCCACACCACCACAACAAAAACATCTGAAAACACATTACTCAGAACTAATTTCTTAGAACATATCCCCATGATTAAGCAACTCATGACTGTAATTCTATAAGAAACTGCACTGCAAAGTACAGCTCTAGACACTTGCCTACCCCCCAGCTATTCTCTAGATGAATGACAAATTTAAATTGTTGCCAATTCGAGATTGCCTACGGTTCCTTAACACAATTTGCTCAAAATTTCTATTCAAATCATGCAAGGAAAACCAAGTCTAAATGCTATCTGTTTTACTGTAATTTAGGCAAATCACAATAATAAATTTAAAAAAAAAGTAAGTGTGTAAGTTTTGCTATAGGGCGCCTGTACTCACCAGAGAGAGAAAAGATTACCCCTCCTCTCTGGAGCACACACACCCTAAAACCAAAAAGAAAAGAAAAACTATACAAGTTATACAGTGATACAACTCTTATATAAAAAAAAAAAAAAAAAAAAAAAAAACCCCGGGGGAAAAAAAAAAAAAAAAAAAAAAAACAAAAAACTAAACCTCCTCCTTTGGCCACTTTCCCAAATCTTACTTTCCTTGAGAAAGCAATCACCAATAGCATTTTGATGCATTATCTTAACAAATTTTACATGTGTACTATATGCCTACAAGAGACAATAGTTTTCAGGGAGAGGCCAAGAAAGTGAGAAATCACCCCCTGTGGGGTAAGGCGGCGCTGCCATCATTCTCCTCCAGTCTACTCTCAAGAGTTGGGCACACAGGGACCAGCAGTTAGTGTAATGGCTATGTCGCTGGACTCCCACGTAGTCGACCGCGGTTCGAGTCCCAGACCCGGTGGCTTAAACTCACGCCGGGCGCGTGTGCATGCATGCCCAAGATCCCGAGAGGAGAATGGAGGAGAAGGGATTGTGGCGTGGCCACCCCCCCTGGGGGTGATTTCCTGCTTTCTGTTTCTCTGTCTCTGTCTGTC